CAAAGTTACGAATCTCTGACAAAGTGACATGACTTAAAACAAGGACTTTTTACCTTACCCAGAATATACACTCAACCCGTACCCTGCTCTTGCAATTAACTAATGTAACATTTTCCTTTCATAAGTTGCAGATAACATGGGGCATCATTTGCATATGACAATTACTATACTTTTGTTTAAGACGTTCAATGATGATCATTATCTTCACAGATGGAATAGTCGAGTAAGCAAATTAGGGCCAGTTGCTTGGAAATTGAACTCTAAAGATGAGATTCCTTCACTTTAACAACACTTAGGTGGGTTTGGTTCGCTGGAATGTTTCTGAGGGAATTGGAATCTGTGAAGGAATTGAAATCTGTCAGGAATTGGAATCCAATTCTATATTCTGTTTGGTTGGCAGGAAATTGAATTGGAATCCAATTCCATAATCTGTTTGGTTCACACATGTCAGAATTGATTTCAGTAATGTAAAATAACAAGATTGCCCTTCTTATTTTTTTTGCTTAATTTAGTTGTTTATAAATTACAAGTAGCAATATATTATAAAAATTTTAAAAATTAAATTTTAATTTTATGATTGATTATTCATTTTAATAAATTATAAATCATGCTAATAAACATCATAAGTTAAAATCATCTCAATTAGGGATGACCATGGGTCGGGTTGGGTCGAGTTTTTGGTCCACCCGACCCGAGAATATGGGAACCTCCATCCGAGACCCGACCCGACCAAAATAAAGTTTCACCCGACCGACCGAATATATGAATTAGAAACCCGACCCAATCCGAAATAATAAAAATTTTATTTTTATTCAATAAAAACAGTGACTAATTGGAAAATATATAGAGAGAGGGGTATTATTGTAATTATTCCTAAATATATAAGGTAAAATTATAATTTTTTGGGTCGGGTCTGGTATTTTTCACCCTAAACCCGAACCCGACCCGAATATAACACTTAAAAAAAATGACCCGACCCGACCAAAATAAAGTTTCACCCGACCCGACCCGAATATATGAATTAGAAATTCGATCCGACCCGAAATAATAAAAAAATTTATTCAATAAAAATAGTGACTTAATTGAAAAAAATTATATATAGAGGGGTATTATTGTAATTATTCCTAAATATATAAGGTAAAATTATATATATTTTCGGGTCGGGTATTTTTCATCCTAAACCCGAACTCGACCCGACCCGAATATTACACTTAAAAAAATCGACCCGACCAAAATAAAGTTTCACCCGACCCGACCCGACCCAAATATATGAATTAGAAACCCGACCCGACACGAAATAATAAAAAAATATTTTTATTCAATATATGAATAAGTTATCAAAAGATTGATGAGGGTAGTATGATCAAATTTCAATTCCCTCCAACAAGGGAATTGAATTCCATCATAGAATAGATGGAATTCACTTTCCCTCATTTGATGGAAAGTTGAAGCCATGAGGGATTCTAATTCCCTTGGAAAACTTGAACCAAACATGGGAAAGTGGTGGAATTGGATTCCAATTCCCCCTAATTCCAATGGATTCATGCCAACCAAACGCCACCTTAGGCTATAACAGGTTCTTCTTGACAATTTTAAGAAATTAAATCCGTAAAATTGAGCTATTCCGCTAAGGTAATTGGTTATAGAGGAAACTCGAAAGCCCTGACTTTATGAATAGATTGCATTCAAACCATGACATTGCTCGGACACTTGGCAACTCGGTGTTTGCTCCACTGCTATTGTCAGGCTGAAGACTTTGTGATGAGATGAACCCTTCAGTTAACCTGATAAAAGTTATTATAATATTTAGTTTTCCCTCTAAAGCAATTGGTTAAAAGCCCTGGCTTTATGGATTTGGCTAGCCAGATAATGGCAAATTAAATCAAAATTATCTAAACAAGAAATTTTCGGTAATGATGGACTAAAGGAGTTAAGGAACACCTGTTATAGTAAATACACAGGAGCACTCAAGAATTTCATTTTTAGACCGATATTTCTGCACTACCTTTGTTAGAGAAGCTTATAAAACTTGAACAAATGGAAGATTTCAGAGGACTGAAATAAAAGGTCTAGTAATTGATCATGCTAGTTGTGTCATTTTGTCCGCACTCAATTAAAATGCCGAACCAAAGAAAGAGCATGTTGCGATATTTCAAAAAATGACATTTTGGGTTACCGAAACCTTAGAAAGGAAGTCAACCTGAAGTCAACTCATCCATTTGAACATTTGTCAAAGAGCTATAACTCTGAAAGCATTAAAAAGAGTATTGATTCATTGGATATACTTTGAACTCATGTTTACAATTTGATTCGCGAACAATTTTACATAATTTTTATCCTTTCCCTCAAAAAACAATAAAAAGGAGAAAAACATTTTCAAACATGACAGTCTCAAATATGAAAGGTCGGTAAAGCCAAAACTCGAGAAGCAAATGGGGCACGATCGATTCCATAGATCATATTGGCAGACAAAATGCGAGACTCCAATCTAAGAGATAAAACATAACCCATTCATGTTGCATGCATATTAGACATACTTAAGAGCATCACATTTATCATTTTTAGCATACATAATTTTTTACAGCTTTTAGAGTCAATTTCAACTTCGCAGTGAAGGAGATTGGACTCGAAACGACACAATTTGCTCGAGAGTAGATTTCAACTTCAAGACGAACGATATCTGACTCTAAGCCAAACTTTACAACGAATGGGTCATCCACGGTTTCAACTTCACGACGAAGGGAATCGTGTTCACCTGCAACATACAATACTTGGATTTTAACTTCACGACGAATGATATTCAAGTAAAGGCTCAACTTCACGACGAAGGGGTCATCCACGATTTCAACTCCACAATGGAGGATATCGTACCCACACATCCACGATTTCAACTCCACGACGGAGGATATCATGCCATTTGAGGCTCAACTTCACGACGAAAGGGCTTCCCAGTTTTAGAGCCAATTTCAACTTCACATCGAAGGATATTGGACTCGAGACAGCACAAGCTCAACTTCACAATGAAAGGGCGACTGACTGTCAACAAATAAACTTCCCAGTTTCATAGCCAATTTCAAATTCGCAGCAAATGATATTGGACTCGAGACAGCACAAGCTCAACTTCACAGTGAAGGGGCGGTTGACTGTCAACAAATAATTTCCCAATTCCAGAGCCAATTTCAACTTCATGGCGGAGGATATTGGACTCGGAACAATACAATTACTTGGATTTCAACTTCATGACAAAGGATATCCAATTCCAGGCTCAACTTCACGATGAAGGGGCACCCGCGGTTTCAATTTCACGACGAAGGGAATCGTGCACACAAGCAGTATCCATCTCCATATTATATTTCAACTTCACGACGAAGGATATCTAACTCAAAGAAGGAGTGTCTGTCAACAAACTTTCCAGTTTCAGAGTCAATTTCAACTTCACAGCTAAGAATATTGGCCCCTGAACAACGCAACTTACATTGGATTTCAACTTCACAACGAATGATATCTAATTCAAGGCTCAACTTCACAACGAAGTGGCCATCCACGGTTTCAACTTCACGACGAAGGGAATCGTGCTCACCAGCAACATTACAAGCTTGGATTTCAACTTCACTACAAATGATATTAAGTCAAGGCAGCAACTTCACGACGAAGGGGCCATCCACGATTTCAACTTCACGACGAAGGGAATCGTACCCACCAGCAACATTCATCTTCAGGAACAAACAAACTATCGATCGCCTTTGAGATTGTTTCTCTCGAAACAAGGGATCCTCTCGCTTGAGACTAATTTACTCAAAACAAAGTTTTGTTTCTCTTGAGACAGTTTCTCTTGAAAGAAATTTTGTCTCTCTTGAGACAGTTTCCCTTGAAACAAAATTTATCTCTCTTGAGACAATTTCCCTTGAAACAAAATCTTTGAATTTGTTTTCCTTGAAACTAATTTCGTCTCTCTTGAGACAGTTTCTTTTGGAACTAAGTTTTGTCTTTCTTGAGGCAGTTTCCCTTGAAACAAATTTTGTCTCTCTTGAGATAGTTTCCCTTGAAACAAAGTTTTGTCTCTCTTGAGACAGTTTCTCTTGAAACACAAGAAACCCTTTTGAAATTGTTTCTCTCACAAAAAAACCTTTCTCCTGCCAACAAAAGACAATCGAGTTCGATTACATTCAACTCAGAGGTAAATCAAATTTACAGCATAGCTCAAGGCGAGAAGGGATATCTGTCAACTGACGAGTTCGATTTCATTCATCTCGATAACAGCAATGAACTACTTTATGGAAGAATTTTCAAGCCGAAATCTTTAAACCGAGAAGAAGACAAAGGCCCAATTCCAGGAATCCCAATCACATTTGATAGGACTGGACAAAAACTGATTGTCTTTTTTCATCTTTGTCCTATTCTTATTAACACAAAAATGTGCAAAGAGGGGCAGCTGTAAACACTCGTTTTTGTCCAGGTTTTAAAAAATTATTTATTTATTTATGATTATTTTATTATTTTTATTAATTTTTTCTTTTTCCAAGTCCCATGTTCAACCCACTATCTCCATTATTCCAACAAACTACCCCTCAACCCAACAACTTCCCTTTTCATTGTGCAGCCACTACCCCCACTAATTCAAAAAAATTCCCATTTCTACTTCCTATATATATATTATTTATAAAATGACATGGGGGACCACGAATCATGGAGAAAAGAGGGAGAAGGTTAAAGCATATTACTCTTCATGTGCTTGCTTGCAAAAGAATGATGGTTATAATGCCCTCTTCACCCCTAGAGGCTTAATGTATGTTCGTGAATGAAACAATCTGCAATATGCATTAACAGCAACATTTCTTCTTGTTGTGTACTCTGATTATCTCTCTGCTGTAAAATCAAACGCGTGATATGTTGCAACGCCTCAACAAGGAAGACGAGTCAAAATTCTTTCACTGCTGGGTTGAGGCTTCCACCGAATCCACTTTGGTAATAGGAGATGAAGGGTTTACACTTGAGTATTCATGAAACAGAGCAAGAACCGAGGGATTAATGAATCTGTTTCGGTTTGCTGGAGCCCGTTTGGGAATGAATTAGAAAATAACGAAACAAACAACGTTCTCGGCGGCGGCGGCAGCAGAAGTAGCGGTGGCTCAAGGGAAGTTAGAGATGGGTTTCTTTGGTTTCGTGATATAGGGAAATATGGGTCCGGTAAATTTTCCGTGCCCGTGATCCAAGCGAACCAGGTGCTAGAGGACCAGAGCCAGATTGAGTCGGGCCAATTCGGCACCTTCGTCGGAATCTATGACGGACACGGAGGATTCGAGGCGGCACGTTACGTTTGCGATCACTTGTTCAGCAATTTTCGAGCAATGGTGGCTGAATCGGGGGAAGTTGTGACTGCTGAGACCATTCAAAGAGCTTTTCAACAAACAAAGGAAGGTTTACGGCCCTGGTGTCGGAGCTATAGAATACTCGACCAAATATGGCAATTGTTGGACTTACAATCATTTGAGAGCTTTAATTATGTTCATTCACGTGCTTTGAACAAAAGAATGGGGGATTAGTATGCCATTTGCTAGAATTGGTCACTAGGCTCAGTTTGGCCATTGAATTCTCAATTTATTCAATTTGGTCCCTATTTATAATTTACATTTTTTATTTTTAACCCCTTTAACTCTTTATTTTTTTTCTCCTGCAGTTCATTTTTAGTTTCGATTTAGTCCATTAATCCCGATTTGTTTCAATTTGGTACTCTAAGTTTTCTTTTATGTTTTTCCCATTTATTTATTTTTTTATCTAACATCCTTGACCCTTTTGTTAGAAGAATTTCAACCAATCAAAGGTAAGCAATTTGAACCGGGTTTTAAATTTTAATTTAAATTTTAATTTTTTGTAACTAAGACAACCGATAAATTAATTGGTACCGAAAGGGCGGTTCAATGGTGCTAATCCTTCCTTGACCGTAATCGACTCCCGAACCCGACACGTTTCTAGTACAACGCAGATCAGGTAAGACGGTGCTCGACCCACCTAAATTCGTTTTAAAGTGGTCGGTGGCAACTCCCAATCCATTTTTCCTAAGTCGAAGCTCAATTCCAGGGCCCAACCGAAAGACGGCCGCGACATATATATATGTATTACCCCAAAATCTAGATGATGACCAAAATGTAAATTTTGAAAGTTAGATGGTCAAAGTAAAAGATTGGAAAAAAATTTAGGGAATTAAGTGATAATTTCCTAAAAAGAATTTTATTCCATAAATATATGGTTTACTCTTGAGATTGGAGTTTTATGGAAATCATATTGTTGGATTTGGAATTTAGTAAAGAAAGAGTTAAAGCCGGTAAGGAATCGGTAAATTCCGATCGAATTGGAATGTTACAAAAATTTGAAGGATGTTATAAAATGGTTGGAAATGTTATTGTAATATTTTAGATCAGAGAAAGTTGGTTTGGAAATGTGCAATTTTTCAGATTTAACCGAAATAGTGGAATTTAGTGACTAAATCGTAAGATTTGAAAATTCAGTTGAAATTTCGGATATAAAAGTCAAATAATTTATATTTGACTTTGTAATAGGTAATAATCAGATGGCTTGGTTTTGATGGTGAATAAGAAGATTCATTAAGGGTGTTTTGGTCTTATCACAATTAAATGAATAATATATTCATTTAAAGTGGAATGAAATGTAAATTAAGATGACATTTCAACCAAATGTGCATCTTCTCCTCCAAAAGCTGCGTGGGTTTCTTCAAAGGTAAGAGATCTTCAACTCTTTTTCAAGCAATTTCTTTAGGATTATGAGTATGATGAAATAGAAAATGGTTATTTGCGAAAAAAACGCTATCATTTGGTACCAATATTTTTATGATAATATAGCTTGATTTCAAATATCCCCAATCTGGAAATTTGGGTTTATACTATGGTTGTTGAAATTGATGATGATTATTGATGATTTTGAGGTTGTAAGAATTGATGAGAACCTAAGGATGAAGTTAAAGAAAACAGTTTAGATTTTGATTCTGGCAGTAGCTCGAAAATTCACCAGAAAAATATAAAAATAATTTGGATGTAATTTTATCTATTGTTCATATGGATCTAGTTTTGTTTAAAAGAAACGGGGATCAATTTCAAGTTGTATACAATATATATGATTTCTAACTGAGGAAAGGTTAGAAAAGTCGGACAGCAGAATTCTGTACAAAACAGATTCTGTTGGGAACTTTGAAAATTCACCATAAATTGTACATAATGAATTAGAAGGAGTTCTTTATGGATAGATTCTTATTCGAGTCTAGTTTTTTAACGGAAAAAACGGAATTGAATTTCAGTGTATATCAATATAGAATAATGATCTTTAAGGGTAGTGCGAGTGTCTGAATTCTGGAAAATTAAGAGTTGTTTGTAAGTGTTGTATAATTGATGTACTATGCTGGAAATTGTTGTTTGAGAATTGAAATGAGTGTTAGATGTGAAATTAATTATTTTGGGAAGATTGAAATGATTGGTGATTTAAGTACAACAATTGCATAGTTGGGAAAAGTTGGTTTCAATGTTATATTGGAATTATTAAGAGTTGAATATTTGATAGATGATGAATTTCAAATATAGTATAGAGATGTGGTGGAATGTATTTATGTAGTAAATACTAACATATGTATTGTTATAAATTTGTGATTTTACAGATCATGGTTGATTTGCAATTGAAGCAAGTCAAGTATAAAAGGGTATATTGTGGACAAGTGAGGCACAAATATTTTGAAAGATATAAAGTGTCAAGGTGAGTGCAATACATGCATGAAATGCATGAATGTTTTATACATCATAAGGAAGACTTGCGATAAGTGACCTTTTTATATCAACATGATTTTATATCATTTTTATAAATTGACATTGAGATGTCAGAGTATGAAATTAAATGCATTGATCATGAAAAATGTGATATTTACCATGAATGTTTCGGGTATGAACTGTCCAATGTTAAATTGATAATATACTTTTCCATGGATGGATCGAATAAAATAGACTATATGCCAAGTAAGTCATTGAGGGACAGGGTATAGTTGGCATGCCATAGAGTATAGCAGCTGCAGGTTTATAATACACTTTGGTGTATATGGTGGGCACGACCTTATATGTAATACACTTCGGTGTATATGGTGGGCACGACCTTATGTGTAGCACTACGGTGTAAATATTACTCGAATACCAGGGTCCTCAGGTTTAATATTGGGCTATTGGCTATGGATTATGTTTATTGGTTAATAAATGGTAATGCAAATAAGCTTATGAGCTTACGGAAATAATGGCAAGTATATAGGAAAAAAGCTTTAAGCTTATGAAATTAAATGGTAAGTATTTTGGTAAAATAAGCTTACGAGCTTATGGAATAAATGGTAAGAGATTTTATATTATTTTGATCATGTTAAAATATTGGATATGTTAGTAAAATTATTTTATGGAAATTTGATTTTTTATATTGAAAATCATGCATGAATTGTATTGCACTGTTAAATGTTTTAATTGCCTCACTAAGTTTATACTTAGCGTATGATGATTTTCACGCGTAGGTAAAAAGCATGTAATGGAATAAAGAGTTCAAAGTGACATTGAGCATCGGGGAGTATATTTCAATATCAGTAAGACATCCTATTGTAAAATTTTGAAATAGATAGTGGCATGTAATTAATAATTCATTTATTTTGTTGATATAGTTGGAAACAAAATAGAATTTTTATAGTGAGGAATGTTAAGTTTTTATAAGTTAATATGTTTTTCGGAAATTACTGTAGCAGTTACTGTAACATGAACAATAACCACGTTTTTAAACAAAATTTTCAGCAGTTACTGTAACATGAACAATAACCACGTTTTTAAACAAAATTTTCAGATTGTTAAGGGGTACCGATTCTCCTGCTACAGGGAATCGATTCCCCCACTGTTCACTGTTCGGGTACTATTTATTATTCATAAATAAAAATATTTTGAATTAAATTGTTATAACGAAACAAATTTTATATGATATGATATTTTTATAATATCATTTACTATTTTAAGAAAATAAATTTTAAATCGCTTTGAATCGTAAAATGGTTTTAGAAATTGGATAACATCTATAATCGTATAAGTATAATTACGGGGATGGATATTACAATATATATATATATATATATATATATATATATATATATATATATATATATATATATATATATATATATTATATATATATATATATATATATGCATGTTCAAACTAAATTTATAATATTATATATTTCATATAAATTTATTATGTTACATTATTATATTAAAATTTAAATAGTATATATTTTAAACAATTTTATTATCTCTACGTAGGTAGCCTGAGTCTGGATCTGGTCCCCGTCCTCTCTTACCACGACGCAAAGGCTCGGCACCAGCTAAAAGACTGCCCTACTTCGCACAAATTAAGACCCCACACTTATCGTACGTACCAAGGTTTCTAGAAGATTAATACGTGACATTTTCAAATATTTTTTTTCATAAAAGACACTAATCGTACCTTTTTTAACTTTATATCTCCGTAGCTAATCACATTATTTTATGAAAATATTATGCATTTAAATTGATAGTAATGTGTGAACTAAATTAGAAAACTAATATTGTATCAGTTAAATAATTGTTGTCCTTTGTTCCCATATGTAATGGGGTAAGGAGGAAGTAAGATAGTATGCTACCATCAACACTAGATTAAGAGCAGCTTCCGTATGAGACCTCCAAATTATGAAATGCCCTCCATGGGACTCGATCTCACGACCTTAAAGTTAAGAACGTTGTGCTCTATCAACTGAGCTGGATTGTCATTTCTGTATTAATTAAATAATACAATACCTAAATTATTTTATAATTTTAAAATTGTATAGTAATTAAATTAAAATTCAACAACCTCTAAATATGAATTTTTTAAAATAGGTACAAATCAATTTATTTGTTGGAGAATAGATTATATGAGACATATAGATGTAGTTGTACTATACCCATTATGTAGGGTCATGATCTATCCGATTTGTCCAAACACCCATCAACTGAAAAGATAGGACAACGGAGACTGAGGAAGGGAACCGACCCAACTTCAATCTTTGGTCCCTAATTTGTATAAACATTATCTGCGTAGGTGTTATCAGTTAGCACGTGCGATTGCTTCTCGAAGGCCATCTTTGTTGATCCCCTCTTCAATCATTGGGATAACTATAACTAAATTTTCAAGCAAATATTATTAATAAATTAAAGTTTATGTAAAACTCATTTAAATTGAAGTATATGCAAAATACAGGTTTGGTGAGAAGTGGCTGTTAGAATTGAGACGTACAATATTACAAAGTTAGGTATTGCTGGGATAGTCTCAGGAAAGGTAGGTTAATATACGGTTAATATACGTTGTTACCAGATACATTAAAAGATATTTAATAAATTCGGTTTAACGTTACCGGAAATGTTGAGTAATAATAATGTAGTAGGTCTAAATCATGAAGAAATATTAAAAAATTTGGCAACCGACAAACTTAACTTGTCGGTTTGTGTCGA